TGGGTGTGTAATGCGTATGTATATGTATACATGTGTGGGTGGGTGTGTATATGTGTGGTGTATATGTGTGTCTGTGTTGGGGATGGTAGACACGTCACCTTGTAAGCATGTTTTATATATATATACATATTTTTTTTGAGACAGAGTCTTGTTCTGTCATTCAGGCTGGAGTGCAGTGACGTGATCCCAGCTCACTGCAACCTCGGCTTCCCAGGTTCAAGTGATTCTTGTGCCTCAGCCTCCTGAGTAGCTGAGATTACAAGCACCTGGCACCATGTCCAGCTAATTTTTATATTTTTAGTAGAGACGGGGTTTCACCATGTTGACCAGGCTGGTCTCGAACTCCCGGCCTCAAGTGATCCTCCTGCCTCGGCCTCCTAAAGTGCTGGGATTACAGGTGTGAACCACTGTACCAGGCTGTCAGCATTGGAATGGAATGAGATTTGCTTATAAAAATAATAAACTCGGTCAGTATCCACCTTGAGGTTGTTCACAGGGTTAGACTTAGAGCATATGTGAGGTTGCCCAGATGTCAGTTCTGCTTCTCACCTTTCCAGGTTTTCTCATTGAGACACGTCTTGTCCCTCTGAGAGTTACTCATCTTTCCCACTGTCTCCGGTCTGTCGTTCTCCTTCCTCGTTGCTCAGCAAATCACATTCACTTGCAAAATACAGTCACTGCCCATCTCTATTTTCCAAGGGAACTTCATGGCTTGCCTCCTCTGTGCCCTATGCTGGGACATTACTCATTTGATTATTTGATGTGGAATTTGCCTCTGTGTCCTGAAAAATTGATAAAGTTCAATTTCCACTAACTTGACTAGGGTTTCTTGACCTTTTCTGTGTTACAGCCAGTTTAGAATAATTTTTAAATGCATAACAGAAATGAGATCACAAGGCAGCCAATTAAATTGAAATACATTTATTAAAATGTTTTTAGGCCAGGCGCGGCGGCTCACACCTATAATCCCAGCACTTTGGGAGGCTGAGGTGGGCAGATTGACTGAACTCAGGAGTTCGCAACCAGCCTGGGTAACACAGTGAAACCCCATCTCTACTAAAAAAATACAAAAAATTAGCCAGGCGTGGCAGCATGTGCCTGTAGTCCCAGCTACTCGGGAGGCTGAGGCAAGAGAATTGCTTGAGCCTGGGAGGGAGAGGTTGCAGTGGGCCGAGATTGCACCAGTGCACTCCAGTGTGGGTGACAGGAGGAGACTCCGTCTCAAAAAAAAAAAAAAAGTTAAAAAAAATCTGTAATATTAATTGAAGTACTTCTTATACACATTTTTTTTTTTTTTAAGACAAAGTCTTGCTCTGTCACCCAGGCTGGAGTGCAGTGGCGTGATCTTGGCTCACTGGAGCCTCCACCTCCCAGGTTCAAGTGATTCTCCTACCTTAGCCTCCCAGGTAGCTAAGACTACAGGTGCACGCCACTACACCCAGCTAATTTTTTTGACTTTTTAGTAGAGATGGGTTTTCATCACGTTGGCCAGGCTTGTCTCGAACTCCTGACCTCATGTGATCCGCTTGCCTCTGCCTTCCAGAGTGCTGGAATTACAGGTGTGAGCGGCCATGCTCAACCCAATTGAAGTACTTTTTTTTTTTGAGACAGACCCTCCTTCTGTCACCCACACTGGTGTGCAGTGGTGTGATCTTGGCTCACTGTAACCTCCACCTCCCGGACTCAAGAGATTCTCCTGCCTCAGCCTCCCAAGTAGCTGGGATTATAGGTGTCAGCCACCATGCCCGGATAATTTTTGTATTTTTGGTAGAGATGGTGTTTCATGATGTTGGCTAGGCTCGTCTTGAACCCCTGACCTCAAGTGATCCTTCTTCCTCAGCCTCCTAAAGTGTTGGGATTACAGGCCTGAGCCACCACACCCAGCCTGAAGCACTTCTTTAATGACCTATTCAATAATGTAATTTTATCTAAAAAAGTCTGTGATTTCTATTGGTGTAAGTGCCATAAATGTATTAATACTACTGTGGTATGTTGACTATGCTGACAATTGTTATAAATACTGCATTTCAGTTTAAGGTTAGAAGAAATAAAGATGTATTTTCTTTCCATCTGGGTTCATGGTCCCCTCCAGGGCATGGAGACCCTAAATTAGGGATTTGTCCACTGCTGGACTGTTGGCCCCTGATGTTGATGCAGCTTTATCCGTCTCTGCATTGCTGTTCTCACCACAGTGCCTGATATGAAGTAAATGTTAACTGGATTAAATGAAATGCAGGGCAAGCAAACCAACATTTATCAAACAGAAGTATTGCCAGGCCTTTTACCTCTTATCTTATTGGACCCTCAATAATTGCCAGGGAAATATCACCCTGCATTTTTCAGATGAGGACACTGGCACTCAGAGAGGACAGAAGGATTTAAAATCAGGGCTGTCTGACTCCAAAGTTCATGCTCTCTCTGCTCCGAACTTTGCCTCTTACAAAACTTCCCCATACAAGATCACAAGCGAAGTTGTTTCAGATACTTGACGTTTCTGAACTTCTTAAAAAGACACAATAATGGCTGTGTTCAGTGGCTCATGCCTATAATCCCAACACTTTGGGAACTGGAGGATCACTTGAGCCCAGGAGTTCGAAACCAGCCTGGATAACATGGCGAAACCCTGACTCTATAAAAAATAAAAAATTGGCCAGGTGTGGTGCTGTCTATAGTCCCAGCTATTTGGGAGGCTGAGCCTGGGTGGCTGAGGCCGTGTTGAGCTATGATCACAAACTGCACAGAGTTAGAGCCTGTCACACACACACACACACACACACACACACACAAAGACTCAATAAAATTTCAACAATTTTTTTTACTAATTCTGTACGTCTAGCTTATAAGGATACATAGTTGAAAATCTAAAAAAATTTCTTAGTCTAGATACAGAGTGACTGTGTTCCTATGAGCACAAATTTATACCCATCAGGATGAGATCAGTCCTAGCACAGACAAGGATTTTGAAATGTCAAACAAGCTGTATTTTGTCGGATGCTTCACAGGCATATCTGGTCCTCTCAGGAGAGATTATTTTCCAGGCAGATTTGTGGCAGACACAGAGGAAGGTCACAGGATGGCACTATGTTCCACAGAAATGTGTCCTGTACTGCATGAGTACGGATTAGGCAACATTATTACATGCGTTTTCTTTCATTCCTTTTTTTTTTTTTTTTTGAGAGTCTTGCTCTGTTGCCCAGGCTGCAGTACAATGGCACAATCTTGGCTCACTGCAATCTCCGCCTCCCAGGTTCAAGCAATTCTTCTGCCTCAGCCTCCCAAGTAGCTGGATTACAGGCACCTGCCACCATGCCTGGCTAATTTTTTTGTATTTTTAGTAGAGACAAGGTTTTGCCATGTTGGTCAGACTGGTCTCAAACTCCTGACCTCAGGTGATCCACCTACCTCAGCCTCCCAAAGTGCTGGGATTACACGCGTGAGCCACTGCGCCTGGGCTATTACACTGCATTTTCTACTGTTAAGAGGTTTTTTCCCACTGGGGAATCATGTTGATCATACACAGTGAATGCAAGCTATGCTGCAGTTTATACAAATGACATTTTCTGCAATGTGTCTGAGAACTTGTTCTTGTAACAACTGAACACGTGTAACATTTCTTTTGAGAAATGTTATAATTTCTGCTTAAAAGCAGATTCCCCAAAGACCCTAAGCAAGCTGGACCCCTTACCATGTCCTTCAGCAGAAAGCCTTCAACTTCTTTTAGCTGCAAATGTCCACCTCGGGGGGCTCCACAGCCTGACCTTTCCATTCTAGGCCTGATTATGGACTGCTAAGACTTTTTGGAGAAAGTGGTTTCTTGTTTTTTTCTTTTTTTCATTCTTCTGTGTTTGTGTCCCTAACTATTGTCCCAAATCTCCTCCAGTTCCCAGAGCAACCCTCAGCAGGAGACTCTGTGCTCGATTCACCGAGGAGAAAGGGTTTGAAGTCCACTCCATCGCCTCTGTCTCTCCCACCAAAACCTCCCTAGAGCTCCCATAGCTTCCTCTCAATTCTGAGGAAGATAGGGCTTTCTTGCTTGCAACACAAATCACTGCGCTCTGAATTTTATCTCCCTTCTGGATTTCAGTCATTTTACCCCATCTGCATCTCTCCTCCATTTACAGAAGTGCTCAGATACACCCATTCTTTAAGATAAATACCTAAAAGAAAAGCAAACAAAACCTTACCCTTATTTTTGTTATTGCCCAAATCTATTCCTGTATCTCCTGCTTTCCTTTCCCTGCCAGACATCTTGGACTGGTGGCTTATAATCACATGGCTTTGAAACTTGGCTTCTCCCTGCTATCCTACTGAGAACTGTTCTCTAGAAGGTCACTAAGTCTCTTGTTTGTCAGATCCAGTGACCTTTCCTCAGTTCTAATGCTCAAAATTTGCAGCATCTGACAATTTGTATCACCATGTGCTTGAGGCTCACTGGACCCTTGGCTTCCAAAACACTGTACTGCCAGCTTCATCTCCTATCTTTCTGCCCTTTTCCCCCAGCTTTGGCAGTTCTTTCTTCCCCACTCCTGTCGCTTCCACAGGAAATTCTACATAGAGAGCTCCCTGATGTTGATCTCCGGCATCACCCTATACATTTCGGACCAGCATTTCCCCACCAGCTCCTCCCTTCCTCTTGAGTCCAGGATCTCCTGATTCAGGGGTCCACATCTCCTCTGACCCAGTTCCTCTCGTGTGTCCCACTGTGGCACACAGTGCCATCACTCAAGAGTTCCCTGACTTTTTTTTGTTTTTTTGAGACAGGATCTTGCTCTGTTGCCCAGGCTGGAGTGCAGTGGCATCATCATAGCTCACTGCATGCTTGAACTCCTGGGCTCAAGCAATTCTCCCTCCTCAGTCTCCTGAGTAGCTGTGACAACAGGTGTAAGCCACTGGGCCTGGCTAGTTAAACATTTTTTTTTTTTTTTTTGTAGCAATGGGGTCTCACTATGTTGCCCAGGTTGGTCTCAAATTCCTGGCTTCAAATGACCTTCCACCTTGGTCTTCCAAAGTTCTGGGATTACAGGCATGAGCCACTGCTCCTGGCCCATTCTCTGACGTTCTTCTGCCCCAGAGTTAGTCACTGGCAAATCCTGAGGATTCCACTGTCCCCCATTTCACTCCTGCCCCTCCTTTCCATTCCCACCACTACTTTGGTTTTAGGTCCTTGTCTCTTCTCTGCCCCTATTTCTACTTCTTTTTTTTTTTTTTTTAGACCGAGTCTTGCACTGTTGCCCAGGCTGTAGTGCAATGACGCATTCTCCTCTCACTGCAATCTCTGCCTCCTGGGTTCAAGCAATTCTCCTGCCTTAGCCTCCTGAGTAGCTGGGACTACAGGTGTGCACCACCACGCCCTGCTAATTTTTTTGAACTTTATTAGTAGAGATAGGGTTTCACCATGTTGGCCAGGATGGGCTGGATCTCCTGACCTCGTTATCTGCCCACCTCAGCCTCCCAAAGTGTTGGGATTACAGGTGTGAGCCACAGCGCCTGGCTCCCTATTTCTACTTCTGCCTCCGTTTGTCCCACAGACATTCCCGGTAAAGGTGGGTAGCTCCAATACTGGCACCTTCCTGCTCAAAACCTCTTTATGGCTTTCTACTGTTAATGGAACTACAGATCTACAATTTTGCATTCAAAACGCGGTGGCTCAAGCCTGTAATCCCAGCACTTTGGGAGGCCGAGGCGGGTGGATCACGAGGTCAAGAGATCGAGACCATCCTGGTCAGCACGGTGAAACCCCGTCTCTACTAAAAATGCAAAAAAATTAGCTGGGCACGGTGGCGCGTGCCTGTAATCCCAGCTACTCAGGAGGCTGAGGCAGGAGAATTGCCTGAACCCAGGAGGCGGAGGTTGCAGTGAGCCGAGATCGCGCCATTGCACTCCAGCCTGGGTAACAAGAGCAAAACTCCGTCCCAAAAAAAAAGAAAAAAAAAAAAATTGCAAAATGGAATTATATCCTCTACAAGTAGTTTGGGAACAACTGAAAGCTAGAACAAACTATCAACAAAACTATACAGTCTCTACACTTCACTATAAAAGTCCTGTTTTTTTTTGAGACAGGGTCCTGCTCTGTTGCCCAGGGTGTAGTGCAGTACTGCCATCCTGGCTCACTGCAACCTCCGCCTCCTGGACTCAAGCAATTCTCCTGCCTCAGCCTCCGAGTAGCAGGGACCACAGGCGCACGCCATCACGCCCAGCTAATTTTTGTTTTTTTTAGTAGAAACGGGGTTTCACCATGTTGGCCAAGCTGGTCTCCAAACTCCTGATCTCAGGTGATCCACCTGTCTTGGCTTCCCAAAGTGCGGGGATTACAGGTGTGAGCCACTGTGCCTGGCCTATCTTTACATTTTTTAAAAGCTTCTCAGGTGGTACTAATGCGTAGCCAAGGCTAAATCACTGGACTGATGGCAAATGTCTTTTTGGCTTTAACACGGAGTCATTTTTGATTTGCTCTTCTTCTTAATTATGAGATAATTTTTACTTGAATTTACTTAGCACATTCTACCTTACCTTATAATTACAGGTCTTTCTTTCTTTCTTTTTTTTTTTTTGAGATGGAGTTTTGTTCTTGTTGCTCAGACTGGAGTGTAATGGCACAATCTCAGCTCACTGCAACCTCCGATTCCAGAGTTCAAGAGATTCTCCTGCCTTAGCCTCCCAAGTAGCTGAGATTACAGGCATGCACCACCACTAGCTAATTTTTTATATTTAATAGAGATGGGATTTCACCACATTGGTCCAGTTGGTCTCGAACTCCTGACTTCAGGCAATCGACCCGCCTTGGCCTCCCAAAGTGCTGGGATTACAAGTGTGATCCACCACGACCGGACGTAATTTCAGTTGTTTCTGTCTTACTTTTTTTCTCTATGCTGTAGTTTCCTCACTAAGATGTGTCTTATCTCTGTGGGCTTCTTATTCATTGGTACATGACATTCACTACTTACTCAAAGGAGGAAAGAGTTAATAAACTTTGCCCAAGTGATATCCGATTTCCTTACCAAAACAAACTACAACTCAAGTGAAACAAAAACACCTAATTCTGTGATTCTTGTTAGCTTGTAACTGAGAGGCTCTGCAGTCTTGATTCAGGAAGGGGAAGTTGGAGGAATTCAGGAGCTCTTAAAGAAAATATTTTCAAAGTTGAAATGTTGGTTGAACTATTGTTCTTAAGATAGTAACATGGTGTTTGATCTGATCTACAATTGTGTTAATTACATGTTTGAGAATGTAAAGTTTTGCAGGCAAAAGACTTGCTGTCTAAACTCAATTTATGGACAAGTCCTTGAATAAATAATGTTGCTCTGGGCAGATGAGGATTGTCGAAAATCTCTACATTATAGAATCCGCTTTGAGAATAAAAAACGCCAATAAAATACATTGTTGGAGAGGGGAAACTACATAGGAAACAGCATTATTCTTTGCTGGCCATAGTGAAGCTGTACACACATCCTTGACCAATATTTATGCAAAGAGAAAGTCAGAACACCATGAATAGCTTTACCAAATGAAGTCCCATTTAAATTTTAAAAATCTGATGAAACTCTGTATAATGACAGGACCTGAGGTATCTAACAGCTAAATGCCATTTGGCAGGCAGTAGTATAGGTTTTCTCTAACAGACAACTTTTAAATTTACAACTCTTAAAGAGTTTCTGGCTTTTATGATCCTTCACATTATTTCTTTTCCTCACAAAATTTAAAGTATGAAAGCTGCAAGGTAAAGTCCCTCTAGCTAGAAAAATTTCACATACTCATTAGGTTTGAACACATGGCTGGCTTATTTTGGTTATTTGCTTATTTTTATAGTTCAAAAAGAAAGAAATACACATTCTGTTTCGAACTTGGTCCCAGGGGATTGTCCTAAGCAGTATCTTTTCCATAGCTGTAATTTATCCTCTGCCTGAAAATAGGTAAGCCTTATTAATAGAAATAAGGCTTATTAGGAACGGCTTATTTCTAACTTACAGAAAAGGCAGCCATAAGAAGGTTGGATTTTCCCAAGACTAGAGCCAGGGAGTCGTAGATGACAGCGAGGCAAGGTCTCCATGACTTTTCTTCGCATATCTTTCTACGTACGCACACTCGTACCATGCAGAGAGCAATGAGAAATACACACACACAACCCATATACACGGATAGCCCCCGCAAAGGGAGGGGTAAAAATCGGACACTGCAAAACATAGATTTAAAATATCAAACCATCGCAAAGCACCTAGACCGTTGTCTTCCCTGGAATCAAGAGCTTCAAACTCCTTAAGAAAAAGTAAAGCAGCATCTGAGTTAAACGTAGATCACTTAGGAGACCTGAGGCCTGGGGGTTGACTTGGCGCATCTGTCGCAGAGAAGAGGCAAAGCGCATATCCAGACACCGCCCGAGGACGCCCTCTGGGCCGCCGTCAGTCCACGACCCCAAGCGATGGGCACCCCGCCGTGGTCCGGCACCCTTAGGACCGTAGGTGGCCGCGGAGGGGAGCAGGCCGCCGACTCACAATCGGGGCAACGTGCCGGCTGACGTCACCCAGTCTCGACCCGCCCCTACGCCCGGAAAGAGGCGGCCGCCCATTGGCTGCGCAGCCGGCGGCCTCAGGGCCAATGACAGAGCGGCGAGCGGCGGGGTCTGCCCTTGACGTTGTGCCGTTCGCCGCGGGGTTTATTTGGCTCCGGGTCCCTCGGCCGCCGCCATTAGGGGTCCGCAGCGCCCGCGGCCGCCCCCAGTACCTCGCTGCCCCCGCCCCCCGGGGCTCCCAAGCCTCAGCGTCCCCTTTCTGCTCCTCTCCCCCCGCCTCCGGCAGCCGGGAGCCGCGCGCAGGCCCGCGGAGACCATGTCCTGACTGAGGAGAGAGGGCGGAGGCGGCAGCAGCGGGGCGGGCGGCGGCGAGGAGGGAGGCGGAGAGGGGCCGGGCTCGACTCATCGCCGCGGGCTGCGCGGGGAGTCGCTGCCGCCGCCGCCGCCGCCGCCGCCGCCGCCGCCGCCGAGCGCCCGTCGGACGGGAAGGAGGAGCAGGAGCTGGAGGAGGAGCCGCCGCCGCCAGGTAACCGGGCCCCCGGGGGGGCGCCCCGCCGCGGCCTGCCTGGCCCCTTGCTCCCAGGCGGCTCCCAGGTCGCCGGGCCTCCCGGGCCGCCCGCCCGGCACCCCGGGGGCGGCCGCGTCGCCGGCGCTGGGAGGGCAGGGGCCCGGGTCGCTGCTGCCGGCGCTTCTATCTTGGGCGCTCCGGGTGCGGGGACTGCCCGGGGGCTGTGGGAGGGCGGGTCCGCCCAGCTTGTTTACCGATCGCCGGCCTCCCGCGGCTGGACGCTGTGCCGGCCCCGCCGCCGCTCTTCCGCCAGATTTCCCCACAACTTCTTTTCCTGCCCGAGACCGGTCGGCGAGTGGGGTTTCGCTCCCACTCCGCAGTAGGCCGTAAACACTCGGGTCCATCGCCACAAGTTGGTGCTGGTCTTCAAACTTGTATTTTGGTTCCTCGGCCGCTTCCTTTCCATCTCCTGTGGTGGCCTTCAGTTGCCATTTCTAGGAAAATAAGGCGGGGGACGACAGAGCGGTGGGAGGAGGAACTGGACCTAGTGGAAAGGTTCATCTACCCCTCCTGCCCGCAGTAAGGAGTGTTCAGTGCAAGATCTGTTATTTTCTCTGCTGTGGTTTGGTGCGGGTCATTTCACAGACAAAAGAACTGTAGTGAATGCTGGCATTTAGCGCAAGAGACGGGCAGTTTAGGTTAAGCCTGGAAGTTTGAACCGGCCCATTATCTTTGAGATACACTGGTGTTTTGAAACTCTCTTGCTGAGCGTTGTGTATTTCAGTCAACTGATTCTCCTTTTCTGTAACTCCGTAGACTATCAGTTTAAGTGCTGTCCCATCTTTACCAATATTTTGGTTTCACCATGTTTATGATGATGTTATTGATCTAATGTATAGAGATACTGATTTAGAACACAATTGGAGAAAAATCTTTTTTTTTTTTTTTTTTTTTTTTTTGAGACGGAGTTTCGCTCTTGTTACCCAGGCTGGCAACCTCCGCCTTCCCAGGTTCAAGCAATTCTCCTGCCTCAGTCTCCTGAGTAGCTGGGATTACAGGCATTGCGCCACACTGCTCAGCTAATTTTGTATTTTTAGTACAGGCGGGGTTTCTCTATGTTTGTCAGGCTGGTCTCGAACTCCCGACCTTAGGTGATCCGCCTGCCTTGGCCTCCCAAAGTGTTGGGATTGCAGGCGTGAGCCACCGTGCCTGGCCTGAGAGAAATCTTTAACTCTGGGACATGTTATATAATGAGTGATTTCTTTACCTGTGTGTTTTAACTTCTTTGTCACTTGTGCAACCTCCAGCAGTACCCCTGTTTTGATCAAACATGGATGACTCAGTGTGCAAACCATAAGCCAGGGGAAACCACAAGGAATTTTGATCTTGGCTTGTGCCAAGGGTCTTGGGAAACTCATCTGAACTATGGGGAAAATAAAGCTGGATCTTGTCTCCTTGTTATTATTTTGAATTAAATGAGATAATTTTCTAAAATTTCTAAGGAAGCTTAGAATTTGTCTTGACTTTTGGTTCTAAAGATAGGCAGTCTTTTTATACTAAGATTTCATAACATTATTTTTATTGGGCTGTTGGGGGTTTACGAGGTAGTAAAACAGTAATGACACATTTGCTCTTTTGAGGAGGATGTTATTTGAATGTCATGAGAGATTTTATTTCTGTTGCTGTTTCAACACCTTTTATTAATGCCTCAGAGTATTGGGACACTCATTTATTTACTCTTGAAATGTGCTTGGGTTAGTGTGGTGAACTCATTCATGGTAATATATTTTAAGCTCATGGCTTTAATCCATATCTGTACACGGATGGGGTTATGGCATGTCACATTTAAAGTCTGAGGATTAACATAGTTTTGGAACTCATGATCCAGTTGTATGATATTTGAGGCAAATTGCTTAATATGTGTAATTGATACAGTGAGAGCGCATGTGCTTTATTATAAATGTAAACTTTAAATGGGAATTACAAAAGTAGACCACTGGCCGGCCCAGTGGCTCATGCCTGCAATCCTAGCACTTTGGGAGGCTGATGGGGGTGGATCACCTGCAGTCAGGAGTTCAAGACCAGCCTGGCCAATATGGTGAAACCCCATCGCTACTGAAACTACAAAAGAGTTAGCTGGGCATGGTGGCATGTGTCTGTAATCCCAGCTACTTGGGAGGCTGAGACAAGAGAATCTCTTGAATCTCAGAGGCAGAGGTCTAGTCTCACTCTGTTGTCCAGGCTGGAGTGCCTTGGCACGATCTCGGCTCACTGCAACCTCCCCACCTCCTGGGTTCAAGTGATTCTTCTGCCTCAGTCTCTGGAATAGCTGCTGGGATTACAGGTGCATGCCACTATGCCCTGTTAATTTTTGTATTTTTAGTAGAGACAGGGGTTCACCATGTTGGCTGGGCTGGTCTTGAACTCCTGACCTCAGACAACTTCCCAAAGTGCTGGGATTACAGGCATGAGTCACCGTGCCTGGCCTAATTTGGTTCAGTTTTATTATTTGGGCATTGCTGCTTCCCTCTTCCCTTCTCATAATACTCTCTTGTGTCTGGGCTTTGAATACTTATTCTCTCATTGATTTCATTGATTTGGTACTCGATTTGGAATGTTTGTGCTCTACTTATGCTTTGGGTAATAATATCTTCCACATTTGAACACTCTTCCCTCCTCGCATCACAACATAAAGACTTAGAGAAAACTCCTTCATACAGGCAAAATAAAATTCAAGCTTCCTGGTGTGGTGGTCCAGTTTCTCTGGAGTCTGGCCCTGGTCCATTCTCCAGTACTAACTCTAATTTCTTTGTGAATCCTTAATTTTAGCCACACTAACTTCTTGTTGTTCCTGTGAAGTCCCTCCTCTTGGCCTTTCTTTATGCCATTCTTTCTGTTTGAAATCCTCTTCTGCTTGTATTAATGGAGACTCTATTCTGAGCCCAGAGAGGTCCTGTCTCTGGGGAAGCTTTTTTTGACGACTTTAACCCAAGAGATCTATTCAGTCTTCTCCTGTGTGAGACTTTCTTTTCTTAGAATATGCTAGCCTGGATTTCAGTTTATCTTTTAATGTTTCTATTTTGCTTCCCAACTAGATTTCATTTTTTTTTTTTTTTTTTTTTTTTTTGGAAACGGAATTTAGCTCTTGTTGCCCAGGCTGGAGTTCAGGCACAATCTCAGCTCACTGCAACCTCTGTCTTCCAGGTTCAAGTGATTTTTTTTTTTTGCCTCAGCTTCCTGGGTAGCTGGGATTACAGGCACACACCACCACATCTGGCTAATTTTGTATGTTTAGTAGAGACAGGGTTTCTCGATGTTGGTCAGGCTGGTCTCGAACTCCCGACCTCTGGTGACCTGCCTGCCTCTGTCTTCCAGAGTGCTGGGATTACAGGCGTGAGCCACCGTGCCTGGCCTCCAGCTAGATTTTTAAGACCTCTGCCAAATGGGAATAATTCTATACGCTGTATTTATCTATGTAGACCATATATTCAGCACTGTAAATATGGATACATTGTCTGACAAAGTATTTTTGGTTATTGAGGTATTCTAGGATATGCAGTTTGTACTGTAGTAATTATTGGTGTTCTGGGCATTTGATGGTTTATGAGACCAATATTTGAAATTATGCCTGTCTCCTAAAAACTCTGGTTAGTGGCCAGGTGCGGTGGCTTATGCCTGTAATCCCAGCACTTTTGGAGGCCAAGGCAGGTGGATCATGAGGTCAGGAGACCATCCTGGCCAATATGGTGAAAATACAAAATACAAAAATTAGCTGGGTGTTTAGGCAGGCGCCTGTAATCCCAGCGACTTGGGAGGCTGAGGCAGAAGAATCACTTGAACCCAGGAAGCAGAGGATGCAATGATTCTAGATTGTGCCACTGCTCTGCAACCTGGGTGACAGAGTGAGACTCAGTCTTTTAAAAAAAATTTGGTTTGTATTTGTCAGCATACTTTGCCTGTAAAGGGTGTTCAGCATTTTGATAGTAATTATGTCATATCATTCAAGCAAAAATATCATGTTTCTGTGGTTTACCTCAGATTTGGGTTGGGGCAGTTACTTGGATGCTGAGTTTGGCCATTTCATATTGTGTGGAGGTAGCATTTAGCATCATGGGAAGCAGAAAATCTGTAGCCTCAGTTTGTATTCTTAACCTGAGATGTTGGCAGCGCATGTCACTGATCGTAAGGCAGATGAGACAGGAGAATATGTGATTCACTACTACTACCTGTCAACAGTCTTGGATGAAAAGTAAGCTGGTACACAGAACTTTTGTATATCAAGGGTAATACATGTAATTATGTAGTACACAGTTGAATGCTGATGCATTTGGAATATAGGTGTGTGTCTCTCTTGTGTGAGTGGAGGTATGCCATTCTATTGGTACACAGTCTCTTGGCACTAAACCATCTTGACTTAGCCTACTGCATCTATGTGGAAACTTGTCCCCTCTCTCCAGTTCAGTAAAATATTTTTCCCCTTGAAATTGACTGATTTTTAGAAAGCATATAAAAACTATTTTTTTTCAAGTGTCAGTAACCTTTTAGCACCGTTGAAGTTAAAATGACTGTTAATAAACTTTTCAGAAATACTAGGCATTTTTACTTAGGCTACTACATTTGTAAAATGCATTTTCACAGACTTACACTTGAAAAATCTGGATCAGTAAGCATTCTTTGCTTTTTGGAAGGGTGGTATTTTGGTTAACATGAAGTTTTTGATAGGAGCCATAAGTCTGAATTCTAAAATGGAGTTGGCCAGGTAAATTGAGCATAAAGTTGATATTTTTTTCTGTTGCTTAGTGAATTAAATTATAATTTTTTTTTGAGACAGGGTCTTGGTCTGTCTCCCAGGCTGGAGTGCAGTGGCACAATCAAGGCTCACCAAGCTGTCCTCCCACCTTTGCCTCCCAAGTAGCTGTAACTATAGGTGTGTACTGTTAAGCCTGGCTTTAGAAAATTTTTTTTTGTAGAGACGAGGTCTCCCTATATTGCCCAGGTGGGTGTTGAATTCCTGGGCTCAACTAGTCCTCTTGCTTTGGCCTCCCAATAGGCATGAGCCATTGTCCCCCAGATTAGATTTTTTTAATAGAGTCTTACTCTGTTTCCCAGGCTGGAGTGCATGACATGATCACAACTCACTACAGCCTTGACTTTCCAGGCTCAAAGCTATCCTCCCACCTCAGCCTCCCCAGTAGCTGAGACTACAGATGTGTGCTGCCACGTCTGGCTAATTTTTGTATTTAGCTGTGGTGAGCTACTGCTCCTGGCCCTAATTTTTTTTAGTAATGAAGAAAATAAACTGCTACCTGGGCGTGGTGGCATGTGCCTGTAATTCCAGCTATTTGGGAGGCTGAGGTGGGAGGATCATTTGATCCCAGGAATTTGAGTCCAGCCTGGATGTATT